ACCTTGAGGTCAGGAATGTGTCTTGCTCAATTTTCTTTCCCAAGGCCCAGCCTGGATCCTTGATTCTTAATATGTATTTGTTCAGTTGCATACTAAAATAACTTCATCTACTATTCCCTTCTGTTAATGAAGAAGAATGCTATATAAAATATTTTGCTTTAGCTTAATGAACTTATAATTCAAAAAATCTTGCTTAATAAAGAAAGGAATTTTTCATCAGAGTCTTTTGGAACTAAATGATATTTTCTAAAATGCTACAAGCTAACAGCTTGGGTGAAGAAGAAAACGCTAACCAAATAGTAAATTCTGGATGGAGCTTTCTTATTTCCCCCCCAAAATGTACCAAATTCAGTATTTTCTGCGTAATCAGATAAATAATCTTCTAGTGTACATTTCATGACATTTATTCACATCCTTTCTGCTCATCATTCTTTGGCATGACCAGTAGAAAGTCCAGCTGTTTGCTCATGAAGGATCACAGTTTATTTGAGGCTTGCTGCAGAATAATCAATGTTCCCCATCTCTTATATAATCTGCTTTTTCTTTGTATCCCCGGTGCCTAGCACAGTGTCCTGCTCTTTGTGTGTGTTGAACTGTGCAGAATATCCAGATGGAAATGGAAAAACTCAAGCTTAAAATGTCAAATGTTTCCAAACATTTGGCAAAGCATAGCCAAAACATCTGGATTCTTGACTGGATTTTTCTACTTTCATCCTCATCTTTGGTGTTGGGTGAAAACAGCTTAAGATTGAATTTGCATATGGAACTAAACTGTCATCAAAGAATTATAAGCAAAAGGCCATGCTTGAGTCACCCAGGACAGCCCTAGGAGAATCAGCAGCAAATTGCTCATATCCTGGGGATGCCAAGAGACATAATCATGTCCTCCATCCCAATATGCCCTGAGAGAATGAGAGCTTTCTTTATGCTGCTGATTTCCTCTTTGCACACCAAGGAGGAAAGTTTGGTTAGAGAAAAGCAATACCTAAATGGTGAACTAATAAGTTGTTGGTGCACCCTGCTCCCCATATATCTTTTTTTTTTTTTGGCCACAAAACTTCTTCCTATAAACTCAACAGAGAATATTTCCCTGGCTTGGCTTAAGCCCCACTGAGCTTCATCACTGTGGTTTGGATCATGAGACCATAGATAGAGAGCTGAAAGGGATCTGAGAGGCTATTCAGTTCAACCCCTTCATTTTCCAGCTAAGGAAACTGAGGTCAAGTGACTTGTCTAATGTCATAGACTTAGCAAGTGGCATCAAAAATCAAACCCATTCGGGGCAGCTAGGTGGCACAGTGGATAGAGCACTGACCCTAGAGGACCTGAGTTCAAATACGGCCTCAGACACTTTGCTCTTTCTAGCTGTGTGACCCTGGGCAAGCCACTTAATCCCGTTGCCTAGCAAAAGCAAACAAACAAAAAAAAATCAAACTGATTCTCTAAGCTGGAATTATAAAATTTTTAACAGAATTTATAAATATGGGGATGAATTTGTGTCTTATTATTAATTTATTTTCATATAGCTATTTATTCAGTTTATTCACTGTTTCTATTTAGTTAATTATTATTATTAGTTTCAATATGTATGTGAATTGTATCATACTTTAAATACAAATATTTAAATTCAAAGACAACTAGAATGAAAGAAAATGACTTAAAGTTAAGGGAATCCTTCCTTAAAGGGAAGAATTGTATTGTTTTTCCTTCTAAATAATATATTACTCTTAATTTGTAGGAGGCAGCAGAGTGAAAAGAAAGAGGGAAGAAAGTAAGGAAGTAAAGAAAGAAAAAGAAAGAGAGAAAGTGTCAATAAACATTAAAAATACACAGAAGAGAGCGGAAGGAAATTCAGAAGGAGAGATAGCCAGGGAAGTGTTTCTACTATTGTGTTAAATTTAACATATGCCTTAAAAAAAACCCAACCTATACATAATAGGGATTCACAATTTCATATAAAAATCTCTTTTTTGTTTGTTTGTTTGTTCATTTGTTTTGGCTAGGCAGTGGGGTTAAGTGACTTGCCCAGAGTCACACAGCTAGTAAGCGTTATGTATCTGACCTAGACTCAGGTACTCCTGAATCCAGGGCCGGTGCTCTATCCACTGCGCTACCTAGCTGCCCCTGAAATCTCTTTTTTTGTTGTTGTTATTTGTACGCAGACAGGTTCATATCTGTTAAGTTCATAATACAATTTTTTAAAGGATTTATAGGATTCAATTCCTACAGTATATGTCCATTCCTTGTTCACTGTACAAGGTTAGCTTACCACATACAGAAAATCAAATGCTAAGTTAATATTTGTAGATTCTCTAAAACTGATGTGATTCTCCATGTCTTTTCCGACCTTTTACCACCATTACTGTCAAAGAACAAGAGGCTGGCAGAACTGAGGGGTCATTAAGCATTTTACTGTCTCCCATGGTTTCCATGGGCAAAGAATTCATCATCCATTGGCTACCCTACTTGTGACTCGCTTTTCTATACTTAGCTAGGTTGGATTTCAGAAAGCAGAAGCCATCTATTACTAGGCCATGGATTCTCCTGGAGGCCTTTCCAGCATGGCAAAGAACCTGCAGAGCTTGTGTTCCATTAATAGCCATCCTGAAGCTTTGGGATTATACTTTATGAAATAAAGGAAAGACATCTTGGGACTATGGAAAAACACACTGGCTTTGGAGCCAGGGAACCTGGTTTTTAGCCTCAGATCCACCGTTTCATGCCCATGTGATCTTAGGTACTTGATTTACCCTTTCAGGTCTTTGGAAATGAGAGGGGTTGTCCTAGATGATTTCTTAGATCCCTTCAGGCTCTAAACTGATGCAACTATAGATAATAGAATAAATCTGTTCTACAGGAATTTTCAGAAGTATGTCTATACCATTTCATAGTAGAAGCATTTGAGGGATGTACCTCTATCAAACCACATACAATTAAAACATAATTTCAGGGGGCAGCTAGGTGGCACAGTGGATAGAGCATGGGCCCTAGAGTCAAGAGACCTGAGTTAAAATCCAGCCTCAGACACTTACTAGCTATGTGATCCTGGGCAAGTCACTTAACCCTGATTGCCTCCAAAAAAAATTTATGATTTTTTAAAACCAAAACAACCCTATAAATTAGGCTCAATAAACATAGATTCAGAGCTGGAAGGAATCTTAGAGACCATCAGATCCAACCATCTTGTTTTACAGATAAGGAGACTGAGGCACAGATAGGGTGACCTTGCCCAACGTCACACAGTTAGTAAGTGTCTAAAGCAAGACATGAATCGAGGTGTTCCTGAACTAAAGTTCAATGCCGTATGTTGACTATATCCTGCTTTCTCTTACTCAGTCCAGAATTAGACTGCACATCAGGTGATTCACATTCCCTGTGAGTTATAGGGAGAGAGGCATCTATCTTCTGTGCCCCTCCCAAATCATTTGGGGACTGTGCCTTCCCAGCTGGAAAATCATTGATTGTCTTACTGAAAGCTCCCCACAAAACATCACTGGTGATTTTTGTTTGTTTGTTTGTTTTAAGGGCCCAAGATTCAAGACACCAGAGATGTTCAGCCTTGGCCTAAATTGACGTTGGGGTCCGGTACCTGAACATGGCAATTTCTCTTTGCTTTGCATTTTGAACCTATTGACCTACAGAACTGTGTTGAGTATTAAAAAGTACATTTTTTCCTCTCTAGAGGAAGAGAAAAAAAACAGTGTTAATTTGAATTTGACAATTCTCTTGAAGCATAACAGGTATTCCTCCCTTCATAATGGAGTTTTAGACTTCACAGATATCATTGTGCTGCCTGCATTTGAGGATTTCTAAGACTCTGAGCCTCAGGGAAGATTTTATTAAGGAAAATCCCCAATCTCTCCCCCCTTGAGCTTTATCTTTGACATTTTCATATTGTTTCCAGTCCAAGTAGGCTTCATGAATCTAAGCGATTTGGGGCTGCTTTGCCTGAGTTCATTTCTTTATTCATTACTGTCCAAACTCAGCAACACAGTTATTTCTCCTTCTCCCTCTTCAGCTGTTAAATTTATTTCTTGGCATTACCCAAGAGAGGGACTGACCAGGGCCCAGGAAAAGAGCCCCAGCTCACTCCCCTTGGGTAAAATTCCAAGCTAACCTCAAAGCATAGTTTAAGGGGTCTTAAAGGACTTTTCTGATCTCATCAGCTGTTGGTATTCTCTCCTTGTTGAAACTATTTGGCATATGCTTATTTGCTCAATTCAGTCATTTTTTCAGTCATGTTCCAACTCTTCTTGATCCCATTTGGGGTTTTCTTAGCAAAGATACTGGAGTGGTTTGCCATTTCCTTCTGCAGCTCATTTGACAGATGAGGAAACTGGGGCAAACAGAGTGAAGTGATTTGCCCAGGGTCACATAGCTAGTAAGTGTCTGAGGTCAGATTTGAACACAGGTCCTCCTGACTCTAGGGCCAGCATTATATCCACTGCTCCACTTAGCATAACCCATGCTTATTTGTAGGCCCACTGTATTGCTCCACTGCCCCTCCTCCAGTAGAATGTAAGCCCTTTGAAGGCAAAGATCATGTTTAATTTTTTCCCCTTTCTCCCTAAGACCTACAAAAAACATTATTGGTCTTAAAAAGTGTATGCTGAACTGCACTGGACTGAATGATATTCAGAGATATCCCTCTACAGATGAGCTTAGGAATAGCTAAGACAATAGCTTGTCTTAGGCCCTAATTCTATAATACTACAACACACTCATGTTTTCTTCCATGGGCTCTGGAAAGGATAAACATGGAGCCAAGTCACAGACAAAGAAGGTAAAATGGTATGAGAATGGGGCGGCTAGGTGGTGCAATGGATAGAGTGCCAGGCCTGGACTCAGGAGGACCTGAGTTCAAATACAGCCTCAGACACTTGACACTTATTAGCTGTGTGACCTTGGGCAAGTCACTTAACCCCATTACCCAGCCAAAACACACACACACAACACACACACACACACACACACACAAATGTTATAAGAGGGTGACATACCCAAGCTGCAGCCCAGGCATCCTTCTTCACAAGGCATGCAGTCTTCGTAGTCTGGATCTCTCACTTCCCCTAGACAGCAGATGAATTGAAAGTGTTGAACTCATTTTTAATCAAGTGGAAGGACACTAATGGCTTGGAAAATCTATTGTTAAGTAATTTCTTTTTTAGCAATCAGCCAAGTAATTAAGAAGCTGATAACCCCTTTCTAGGATGTATATGTTACTCCCTTTTTACTTCCTTATATTAATTTAGAAGATTAGATCAGCTGGATTGAATGAAATGGGGGAAAAAAAGTTTGGATTTATGCGTGACAACTGGACTTACAATCCAGTTGGTGGACTTATTAAAAAAATAGACATGCCACTGGGAATGCAAAAGCACTCAGCATGGAAATGAACAGTTTTATCTACCCCTTCAAACAAGAACCTTTTCATTTGCTTTAAGTCCTCAAACACATAGGAAAAAAATAACTTCCTTAATCATTCTACTTGCTAGAGTGCTTTTCATCAGGAGAATTCTTAGTCATTATTCATTGAACTGAAGATATTCATAGTACAAAGGAAAGAAATCACTTCAAAAATTTAAAAAAAAAAAGACTCTGAGTCCCACTTTCCCCAGGCCACAGAACAAACTATAAGGATGGGTTGACACAGGCTGGCAATGGGAAGCTGGAATTTATAGGGCACTGACAGTACTAAGTTTGTTTAGTTGTTTTTCATTCCTATAGTACTGAGTTTTTGTTGTTCAGCCATGTCTGACTCTCTGTGACCCCATTTTGGGGTTTTCTTGGCAGAGATACTGGAGTGGTTTGCTATTTCTTTTCCAGCTCATTTTACAGATGAGGAAATTGAAGTAAACAGGGTGACGTGACTTGCCCAGAGTCAGTACTGAGTTTAGCATTAGTTAGAATAGGAAGTTACCAGATGATGTCCTTCTCCTTGGTGGCTATCCTCCAGGGGAGCCCTTCCATGGCCCTACCCGAGCCTGCTTTCTCTCTAGATGGTAACCTCCTCAGCAGGCTTCATGGAAGTCCCTCTTTCTAAGAGTTCTGTGTTTCAAGGTGTGAAGAGTACCCTTGGGCTTACTCCCACATCTACTCAAAGGAACTTGTCTTACCATGTTCATTCGATGGCACCTTTTTTGCCGTTTACCTTAGGGAGCCAAAATGGCTAGTTTTGGCCCTGGAAGCATTTTTTTATGAGGGTAGTCCCACTTTACTTAGTGTGTCATACACTAGCACCTTGTTAGAGGAATACAGAGAGCTTTGTGAACATTGGTAGAACATAAAGGGAGGTAGAGTACCGAATGGTTTAATGGGTCACATGTTGGATTTGGGGTTGGGAAGGGCTGGGTTCAAATTCTGACTTAGCCCCTTACTAGTTCTATGACCTTGAGTAAATCCCTTAACCTCTCTGATCTTGTTTTCTCATCTGTAAAATGGGGATAATAGAAACTACCTCATAGAGCTATTGCAAAGATTAAAAGTGAGAATATATGTAAAGAGTTTTAGAAACTTTAAAGTGATTGTTTAAATGTGAGCTGTTATTTAAAAGCTTTTGAGGACACATGTTTACTTTTTTGTTTGTTTTTATATTTCCAGCACCTGATACAGTGCCCTGCAAATAGTGAGCTCTCAATTAATGCTTGCTGAATAAATGAAGTGCTTTCTCTCCATAGATGGGGTCCATGGCTGATTCCTCTCCAGGCAATAGAAGCCAAGCCTCCTGACACCAAGTAAGTGAGAAGGTAATGTATCTGTATGGAGGAGGGAGGAGAGATTTGGGAGAAAAGAGGAGAGTGAAATCATCATCTCCACTTTATACATAGGAAAGCAAAATGTGGTGGGGCACACTGTCACCTGAAGCATTAGCGCTTGGGTCAAGGATGGAGAGCTCCCACTGGAGTTGGCTTACCTTCTCTGCATTCTAACTTCTGGCAGGTGTTGTTTGAGGGTAAGATGTAGAATCCTTGCAAACATCGAGTGCAGTAAGAAGAGCTAGTGCAGAGCTCGCAGTTCTCAGGGCAGGGCAGGCAGGTGTTGTCAGAATGGTGGTACCCAGCAGGGCAACCTTCTCGGCACTCACCCATGTACAGGAAGCGTTTCTTCCCATGCTTGTCTGAGCAGCACAGGAGAAGAGAAGAGAGGGCAAAGATGAGGGAGGGGGGATAGTCACCAAACCTCTCTAATATATCAGAAAGAAAAAAATGCCTTACCTCCCAGGAGAGCACAAAAATAAAAGTTGCTTTAATAGGAATCTCATTATTTTTAAGCCTGTACATGTCACATGGAAAGAACAATGAGATCTGGGTTCTAGTCCTACCTCCAACATTTATTATCTGTGTGACTACGAGCAAATCATTTAATTTCCTTGGGCCTTGCTTTCCTCTTCTATGAAATGGATGGAATAATAATTGTAGTATCTACTTTACAGGATTGTTGTGGGGATAAATGAGCTAATGTATTCAAAGTACTGTGCAAAATGTAAAACAACTCTGTTACTCTCAGCTATTATTATTACTACTACTACTAATAGTACTACTAATCATAGTAGTAGGTAGTAGTAGTAGTAGTAGTAGAAGTAGTAGTAGAAGTAGAAGTAGTACTAATTCTCATCCAAAAGATATGTATGGCTTAGTGGAGAGAATGCTGTATTTCAACATACAATAAGCATTTAATATGTGTCTACTATTTGCCAGGGGCTAGGTCAGGCACTGAGGCTGCAATGAGGAAAACTGAAGTAGTCCTTGTCTTAAGGAACTTACATTCTATTAGAAGGAAATAACATACAGGTTGTTTTTGTTGAGTTGTGTCCTACTCTTTGTGACCCCATTTGGGGTTTTCTTGGCAAAGATACTCAAGTGATTTGCCATTTCCTTCCCCAGCTCATTTTACAGATGAGGAAACTGAGGCAAACAGGACTAAATGACTTGCTGAGCGTCACGCAGCTAGTAAGTGGCTGAGGGCAGATTTGAACTCACAAAGATGACTCTGTCCGGTTCCAAACCCAATGCTCTGTACCACTTAGCTATCCCTGAAGTATAATAAATGTTACTAAATTACAAAAAAAAATCCCACTAATATTTAAAAGGTTAATTATTTTAAAAAATTTAAAATTAGCATGTTTCTTATTAAATTTCAACATAAACACCACCTTATGCTCTGTTTTGCTCTAGTCCATTTTTGAACTTGGTAAAGATTCTCATCAGCTGCTGTTCAGTGACTGAAAGGATTGTATTTGTAATCCTAGCTTTAAGCTCATCCAAAGAATAAGGATTTGATGCACAAATGATAGCTCTGATGAAACTCCTCAAGAAAAACTTGAATGGAGCTCAATTAGGTGACCAAGGTGGCCAAAGAGGGGACCTACCTCTACCAATCCACAGGAGGTCTGAGAAAGGGTCATCCAGAAATTGCAATGCATAATGACAGGTTGCCCCTTGTTGTTAAAATTAAAAACGTACTATTCAAAATTTGCAAAATTAAGTATAAAAGCAACTTAAAGAATTAAACTTTCAAATTACATTTTTTACAAGTTTGGACGATTTCTGCTTCTGAAGTTTTTAAAATTTAAAACAGCACCAAAACTTTTGGGATGTGCTGTGTATGTATCTTAGTATATGTGTATCTACCTACACCTATGGTCAGACCTGTGATTTCACCATATAGACAATTTCCATTGAGGAATCTCCTTCTACCAGTGCCCATGGGACACCAGCTCTGTAATTTGTGGTCTCAGAGAGATGCCCACGTAGCACGAAGAAATTCAATGGATTGCCCATGGTCACATAGCTAACATATTACAAGCAGAACTTGAACTCAGTTCTTGATTTTGAGGCTAGCTCTCTGTCTTCACTATGTCAAGCTGTTTCTCAAAAGCAAAATATATAAAAAATAGTTTGTGACTAGCCAGAGGCAGAGTACGCGAAATGGGGAATAGAGGATAAGGGTTCATTTTTGGTTTTTGGCCCATGGTCATACAGTTAATCCGGGTTAGAGTCAGGATTTGAAACCGAGTCTTTCAGAAACCAAGATCAGTCCTTTAGTCACAATACCACACCCCCTTTTGTACAGTATCATTGGAAAACAATGATTTATTTACGTGCATAAACCCATGTAGGCAGCGAGAGAAAAATCCCATGTACACATTTGCACCTTGGCTGATTTTCCAATTTGCCTGATTGCGCACACCATGAGGAATGTGTGTGCTTGTGTGTGTGTGTGTGTGTGTGTGTGTGTGTGTGTGTATGTGTGTGAAATATCTCCTCTTTATGAGCTCACATATTAAAAAATTACAAAAAGCCTAGACTAGATTGCTTTATAAAATATCACATAACTTCCAGGAAGACTTATAGGAAGTACAGCAGTACAAATTCATCATACGTAATAAATTTTTAAAATGGATTAAGAATATATTTCAAAGGGAATTTAAAAGCATCTTAAGCTTTAATCTAATGTCTAGAAACCTAGCATTAAAGAACTTAAATAAAGGAAATTGGTGAAACTGATAAACCTTTAACACATAGGTCATAATCCGCTGCAGAGAAATACCATCTTCCAGCAACAACGACAACAATAATAACATTTATATAGTAGTTTAGGGTTTGTAAAGTGCTTTACATATGTCATCTCATTTGATCCTAATGACAGCTCTGGAAGTAGGTACTCTGCCCATTTTTCAAATGAGACAGCTGAGGCTGGGAGAGGTTAAGTCACTTGCCTGGGGTCACCAAACTAAATAAGTGTCTGAGTCAGGACTTGAACTCAGGTCTTTCAGACTCCAAGTTCAGTGCTCTAAGCATCTCTACACAAATAGGATACTACAGCAGAGATGATGATCTCGGTGCTGTTAAAAGAATACTTTTTATTTTCTTTCAAGCAATAGCAATGGGAAGCCAGTGCATGAATATAAAAAGTTGTGCTAATATGTCTTCAAGTCAGTTGACTAATGTTGCCCATCAAAGACCAACTCACAGGGAGGCAGCGGTCTATTCAGTGGAAAGGGCACCCACACTGCCAAAATCATTAGCTTTCAGAATTACCCAAGATTTTAGGTCTCTCAATCGTCCCTAACCCTGTCACTCCAAAGCCTGATACAGACTCTGGCACATTTGTCGTTCAATCGTTTTTCAGTCATGTCTGACTCTTTGTGACCCCATTTTGGGGGTTTCCTTGGCAAAGATACTGGAGTGGTTTGCCATTTCTTTCTCCAGCTCTTACACTTAGTAGGTACTTACTAAATGTTTGCTGATGGATACAAAGAGAACCACTGATAGTGTAAGATGGGAGACTGAAATTCAGAATTACTTATGTATTCATGTCATGGGCATGCAGTGTGCATTTCATTAGGGAATGTATTAAATAAGATTTTAAATTATTAATTAATATTATCAATTTTATTAGTTAATATTTTAGATTTAAAAATTTTAAAACATTTAAAATATTTTAATATTTAAAATACATTTATTGCATTTGATATTACATTTAATGTCAATCATAAAAAAAATTAATTTTAGCCATCAAGTCATCAAAGAAACTAAAACTTACCAAAATGATGAAATACACTTTACTTTAAAAAAAATATGATCTTTAGAAATGAAGCACAAAATACCAAAAAAGGACACATTATACCTGGCACACAGTAGGCACTTTATAAGTACTTTTTGATTGATTGACGGTTTGGGCACACCCAGCACCCACTGTCCACGTGCCTATGACTTTTTTTTTCTTTACAGCAAGATGTCACATAAATCCTGTCAGGTTGGCAGTAGAAGTATATTTATCCTCATTTTAAATGGACTGGCCCAAGATCACTTACCCAATCTCAGAGGCAGGATTAGAACCCAGGCCTCCTGAATCTGTAATCAGGCTCTTCCCTTTGGGCAAAGGAACTAATTTAAATTGAGCACTTAAGGGGGAGGTCTTCAAACCCCAAAGTGGAATAGCACATCCATCCATGTCTGCCTTCCATTTGCAAGGAGAAGAATGCAGTTGAATGCAGGTGCTAATTGAAGGTGATCCACCTCAAATTTAATTCTCTTACTGGACTCTGCTAGAAATATCCTTGTTTGACATAAATTTTGATTTTCCACAAAAGGAGGCCCATACCTCGAGGGTTTTGCACATTAGACGTAAAGTTACTGTATAGTATGATGACTTTTCATCATTACTCCTACAGCATAACTTCAAACAAGAAATAAGTTAGAATGAACGCCCATTGCTACCATTTTCATTCTGAATTATTATTAATTATGATCATCTTTAATTACTATTAATAACTGGCATTATATAGTGCTTTAGAATTTGCAAAATACTTTATGTAATTGTCTTAGTTGAGCCTTTCAACAATTCTGTCAGGTATGGCCAACAGGTATTATTATGTCTGTCTTAAAGAGCAGGAAACTGAGCCTCGGATCAGTTAGATGTCATGCCCAGGGTCATACAGCTATTAAGTTCCGGATGCAGGATTTGAACTCCATCATTCCTGTCTCCAGATCTAGCATTCTATCCATTAGGGTCATAATCAACTAAAATGAAGCTCTTTTGACCAGAAACAACTGTTGTACAAATACATACTCGGGAAACTTCATTCAAAAGCATTTCTATTATCTGCCCATGGGATTCTCCCAAAGAGAAGAAAAAGGAAGGGATTGGAAGAGTGTTGGTATCTAAAATATTGAGCCTATTTGAAAAGGTTAGGAAGACATGTTACCCTCGGTTTAATGATAAGGGCCCTGGTCCTGCTTACTTTAGTCGTCTGCAATAGGCCACTGCTCATTTACGACATCTGTCAAGGCTTGGCTCTATTTATGATGATCTAAGCACACTTGGTTACAGATGATAATTAGGATCGCCCACAGGTTTAAAATGCCAGCTTTAAATCTTTGAATTCCTTGCCACAAGCTCATGGGACTGAAATTGATGTAATGCCATAAAACCCTGGAATGAGTCAAGGCCGGCGTTAGGTGTAGGCAGAGCAGGCAGCAGCCTACTCGGTGTGGTTTCTGAGGACAAAGCCTTTCATTCCAGACTCAGAGAAGAGGCTTAAAATTCATGTTCCCCCGAGAGGCAAAACTCTGCTGGCGAATTCATACTCAGATACGAGTTTTGTTTAAGGGAAAGACTGATGAGATCGCTAAGACCAGGTGTCAAAGGAAAGGGACCAAGGAAAGGAACTACAGAGAGGATAAAGGACACAGAAGTAGAAGGCTGAAGACCCTCAAAGGATAAACTTCACCTGCTTCGTGCTTCTATCTCCAGCTGTCTAATGTGAATAACCTACTGTAAGGAAAATAAGATTTGAAAAGCAGTGCAACAGGACAGTATAACACATTACCTACTTTGTGACTAGCTGAATTTATCTTTCTGTTCAGCGAGTCAAAGGGGAACATTTTTTTAGCCTTCATCCTCTATTTCATACAGTGCCAAAAAAGATTTTTTGTTGAAGCTTGAACAACTTATGGCGTATGTGTCTTCTCCCCAGAGGGAGAGAAAACCATGTTTTCAAATGTCACCTGACTTATGGCTCTTCATCTCTGGTATTCCCCTGTGGGCTACTGACATACTTGGCAATAATGGAAAGGGGGAGCAAACTCTCCACACCTTTTTCATTTTCTCTCTAGCAACTTCTTGAAGGTAGTCGTGTGAAACCACCCCCTTCCCCCCTTCCACCTCCTTGGCTCCTTGTAGGCTATTTGAAAGTGGCTTCTCCATCCTTGTTGAGTGCTGGGGGATGGGGAAGGCTCAGCTTGAGACCCAAAAGAGATAGCCTAGAAGAGTTTATGGGCCACTCCCAACCTTTGTGTAAAAGGGATGTTATACAAGAGCAACTCACAAAGTCACAACCAGGGTAAGACTTTGTCCCAGAACACCAAAATTTAGAGGGCACTGACATTCAAAACAAGTACTTTTTTCAACTATGGAAATAAAACTAGGTTTAGTACCTAGTGAGTAAGAATAATTAGATAAAATATGAAGCTGCCAAATGAGAGACATTGTCAATAATCACCATCTGTGAACCACAATGGCAACTAATTCCTCCTCCTGCTCAATTGAATTTTTCCCAATTATTGTCATTATTTTCAAATCATGAATTATATAGTTGACTGGAGGGTATCCTTGTATAGCTTACTTCAGGGCCTTCTGTTCATGGGTAGGGAAGGAAGGAGTTTATCATCAGAAGACATCTTTTGCAGGTTTCCTTGTGCCTTTTCTCTAGTGTAGGGGTGAAGTATGTGGAAAATTAGGCTACTTTTTGTGAAGCTATTCTAAATTTGTTATGGATTGGGGATAAGGCCAGGGCAAGGTTTAAAAATAACAGTCCTTTATGTGTCCAAAGGATTGCAGAGTGCCCAATACATTTTTGACACTTGGTGGATCGGAAAGACCTAACCTACCCATCCATTCTCTTTTTTCAATTTGTTATTTATTTATTTTTAACATTCTTTTCCTTTTTAAATTTTGAGTTCCCAATTCCCTCCCTCCCCTCACTGAGAAGGTAAGCAAGATGGTATCAGTTAAAATCCTTCAGTGGCTCCCTAAAGCCTCAAACATAAGCCTGGCATCCAAGGCTCCCCACAATCTAGTGCTGCCCCTCCTTTCTCATCTTCCATATCCTCTCATCTTCCTACTCAATGCTTCTGCCACATTAGATGATTTGCTATCTTTTGTATAAACCTTGAACTTGACCATTACCATGTTTTTGTTCTCACACTTATGCCCATATTGCCCCCTGTTGAAATCTTCCTGTCCTTTTGGTTTTTTCCCCTTTTTGATGAGACAATCAGGGTTAAGTGACTTGCCCAGGGTCATACAGCTAGTAAGTGTCAAGTGTCTGAGGCAGGATTTGAACTCAGGTCCTCCTGACTCCAAGGCTGTAGCTCTATCCATTGTGCCACCTAGCTGCCCCTTCTTACTGCTCTTTATAACCCAACTCAAATATCACTTTCTCCGGGAAGCCTTCTGTGATCGTCTCAAGTAGCAGTGACTTTCCCTCCTTGGGACCTCATATATGTTACTTGTACCTTTCTCATACACTTATATATTATTAATATTATAGCTTTCTGTGTATATGTCCTATCTTCCTATTAGAGTGTGGGAAAAATGAGTATTAATAAATAATGATTTGGGGAGATTCAAAGCTCTCCCTTTTTCTTTTTTCAAGACCTCAGTCTCAGAAGGTTGAGTTAACCTTCTCTATCAAATCCCACCCAACCTTACAAGGAATCTCTAGTCTAAGGTGAATTCCATTCCATCAAACTTGGGTGGAGACTGACACTTTTGTCTAAATTGCCCAAGGCTGGGGGTGGTCTGGGTATAGAGATAGTCTGTCTGTCTAAGGGTGATATTATGTCACTCTCAGCCCTTCGTTGTAATATGCATTCTTTCATTAATTGTTAACCAATCAGAGTTGATTCCCAACCTGGGGAACAGCTACTGTTTGAAGGGTATATAAACTGTGAGCCTACCACATGGCTTGTTTTCAGTCTAAGAAAGAGATGGCCAAATGACCACCCTTTTATTAAAATGCTGCCATTATTAATAAAATGATTAAATTACCTAGAAATTATATCTCTCGAACCTTTTAATTGCCACAAATGTAAGCTCTATGAGGGCAAGAACTTTATCTTATCTAAATGTTTTTAATCCCTCAGTTCTTAGGATAATATGGCACATGGTAAACACTTGATTTAATTAAAATCAGGCAACATTTATAGATTTAAATTCCAAGAACTAAGCCACTCACACTTAGGAACTCTCTTACTTTTGTGTCTGTATTTCCAGGACTTAGCACAGGGTCCAATGCTGAGAGGCCTTTATTCCATCATTTATTTGTTTCTGACTCCTACCTAGTGCTCTGCCCACTAAGTAACACTTCCTGTAAGTGCTGAAGAATGCAGATGAGTAGCTGTCCAGGCTCACCCCCTCAGCACAGGAGACAATGCTTCTGAATAAAGCTGAGCAGTAACAGTGGAGGGAAGGATTTGAAACAACAGAGAATGAACAACTCTCGGCTATCCTTACCTGTGCCACAGGAGGTACAGTTGGAGGGCTCACTTCCTTGGCATTCTTGGCAAGTGTGATGACACGGATGGCATTGGTTGTGAAATTCAAATTTCCCTGAAGGACAGGTCAGGACGCAGCGGTCATTGTCAAAGAACCTGGGGCAGCAGGAAGAAGAACACACAAAAATTACGAAACTCATGAAGGTAGAATTTTTTGACAACAGAGTGCTAAAGCAATGCTAAGCTTATGTATTCTTGTTCCATACTGTCTTTTTTTTTTATGATTCTACCCACAAAGATGGCACCACTGATCCATTATCAGTGGAACCTATACTTTAAGTCGTTGTCCCATTTACATCCTTTCACCATGCCCTCTCCCTCTTTTCTAGATTTCTCAGAAAGCATCCCTGAGAAATTTGATTAATTTTATTCAGCTGCTTTAGATGGCACGGTGGGTAGAGCGCCAGGCCTGGAGTTAGGAAGATATGAGTTAAAATCTGACCTCAGACACTAGCTGTGTGACCCTTGACAAGTCACTTAACCCTGTTGGCCTCAGTTTCCTCAACTGTAAAATGAGTTGGAGAAGGAAATGGCAAACCACTCTAGTATCTTTGCTGAGAAAACCCCGAATAGGGTCACAAAGAGGCAGACGTAACCAAAATGACTGAAGAACAATAGCTACCTTGGGAGAGGATGGGGATAGAGGAACAATTGAAGAGAAAGTAGGAATACTATCCAGAACCCTGAGGCCCAGGGAGAAATAATGATGTGAGAAGGAAATGCACCACCCAGATCCTGGGAAAGAGAGAAGGCAAAGTGGTAATATGTCACCATAAACTCACAAGGGATTGAAAATAGACATTTGCTTGTGCAATACAAAAAGGGAGAGGTTCCTATGACTCCTCCCTCTCCCCCCCCCCACATTCCCAGGCCTCCTTGTGATTTTGAGATTGTAGGAACCATATATAAAAATAAACTTAAGAACAACCAAGGTGTGCCATCTTGAGCTGTAAAAATACTCTGACACTGAGCCCACTATGGGCCACTGTTAAAGAGCTGGTCTTCAGGAAAAGGTGGTGAGCATCCTCAACTAGATAAGAGCTGCTAATGGAGTGTGAGCAGAGTGGTAGAAGTCAATGAGCACCATCTGCTGGAGGATAGTAGAACTACCAAACAATGGAGCGTACAAGATGGAACTTGGGTTGGACAGAAGAACTGAGGAGCAAGATGGGGCTATGAAGGAGAGTACGAGTAACTAGATAATTGCCATCTGCTGGAGGAGAGTGGAACTACCAAACAATGGAGAGCACAAGATGAAACTTGGAGTGGATACAAGAGCTGAGTAGCAAGAAGAAGGAGCTATGAAGGACAGTGCAAGAAACAAGAAGGCTTCCATCTTCTGGAGAGGAAGGGAACTACCAACAATGGAGGGCAACCAGCAATATAGGCTTAGAGAAGCAGGAGAAAAAGTTACTAAAAATGAATCATTTGACTGCCCCCCTGCATTCTGTTGCCACTCTTGTACTGCCACTTCCCTATTTCTCTCCCCTACTCTTCACCTCTTGCTATCTGAACAGTAATAAAATCAGTACCATTGCTTCCAGAAGGGAGTGTCAATTGATTGACCTAGGACTCCACTCACCATCTCTATGACTTCCCAAACCAAAACATCTTGGCCACCATTCCCTTATATGTTATTGCCTCCTACCAGAATATGAATTCCTTTAGGGCATGGACTGTCTTGTTATCCCCATGGCTTAACACGGCATGGAATAGAGTATTTGAGAAGTATTTTTCATTCATTCCATCACTATGGACCATTAAGCCATGAGGAGGAGCAACAAAGTGGAAAAAGTGCCCTAATAACCCTAAGATGTAAGGCTACCCAAGGAAGTAATATAAGTCCCAAGGACTATGCAAGTTCTGTATGTTTCAAACTACTTGCATATAAAAGTGTTCATGTCTGGAGCTTTGTTAGTCTGTGTGCTTATAAGGGGAACTGATGACTACTCCTGAGGGAATGTCACATGCTGAAGCTCTCATGGTAGAGACGATGATCCAGAGAACTGAGAGATACCTCTATTGTGCTTGGGTTTTTTGGGTGAGAAAGGAACCACTAACACAGGTGTTGTATTTTTTTTAGGGAACAGCAGAGATGCAATCTCTTTTTCCCTATTGATTACTTCTGAAAAGTTTTTCTTACCACTCTCAAATGGTCCTCTTTGGTTATAGGAATATCTCAAACATTATTTATCAAAAAATTGTATCATATTATATGGAACAGAAATTGGCAGTTTGCTGAAATCAACTCTATATCCATATATCTGGGAGGAAATGTGATGTAGTGAGTGGCAGTGTGGTATAATGGATTAGTCATTTGACTTAGACTCAAAGACTTGGGTTCAGATTCCACCTCAGACACTTACTAGCTAAAGACCCTGAGAAATTCACTTAACTTTTTTTTTATTCCTCAACTCCTCATTTGGAAAATGAAAAGGCTAGACTTGATGACCTCCAAAGACCCTCCTAGGTCTAAATTGGTGGTGCTATGATCCTAGTTGAAGAGATCCAGACATGGAATCAGAAGATCTGGGGTTGTGTCATTTTTGGGCCGCAAGGTCCTCATCTATAAAATGAGGAATTTGGACTAGATAAGGGTCAACAAGCTATGGACCAAAGGTCAAATCTGGTCTGCTGCCATCATAGATCATAGATCATGGTGTCATAGCACAAGGAACCATAGAGATCAAATGGTCCAACTTCCTCTTTTTCAGAGGTTTAGAGAAGTCAATAATATGTCAAGATCCTGTAGGTCATAATTTGTAGATCCAAGATTTGAATTCAGGTCCTTTGATTCCTTTATTCTGCACTATTCTATAGTGGGACCAGTGAGCCTCTGTCCCCCTTCCCACTTTTGACCACCCAACACTGCTTGGGCTGAGTCAGAGGCTCTTTCTACACAGTGACTATGGCAGACAGCAATACTTCAGTCTAACTGCTGACTTTATAGACTCCACCAGGGGCACACTCACAAACATCTGGCTGTCCTTGTGCTCACTTAGCCTCCACACCCAAAAAAGGCAAATTATCTTATCAACCCCACTAGGCTTACAAAGAGAAAGACCTCAGGGGTCAGACTGATAATTCAAGCCAATGAAGAAAAACCCAGTTTTTGAGCTATGGTTTTTGAGCATGGGAAGATTTATCAAGGACAGTTTTGAGTTGGTTCAAAGAAAAAGTAAAATAAATGAAATGTCCTCATTATGTGGTGGTGGTAAAGGGGGTGGGACAGGAGACCTAGATAAGAACTTTCAAGGTTTTCAAACCAAAAGCCTACCTGAGGCAGAATTTAACATGAAAAAAGGAAAATGGGTGTGCATTCATCCAATGTGCTCACTTTCTTACTAAATCCACTTGTGGGAGGGTAGGACAGGAAAGGGAACATAGAAAACATATCATCACTTTATCCTTTAGAGGCAGCAAAGAGAATTTAGCTGAAAAAATCATTTATCTCCAATTTGGGCCTCTCTCTTGTGACAGGGTCATTTGTGAGTATCTTCAGTTTAAGGTGCCTCTTAGGGCCGTCCTGAAATGGAGGAGGGCGGGACCCCTAGTGGAATCAAACTGCTTTTGTAGAAGAGAAAAACTACTTATTTTTCTGTGGGTCTTGATCTTTTCCTAAATCTGAAGAGCTTTGTCATGTTTTTAGCAGAAAATAAAAAACACAGGGGAGAGAATGAGAGAGAGAGAGAGAGAGAGAAGAGAGAGAGAGAGAGAGAGAGAGAGAGAGAGAAACAAAATAGTAAAATAAAACCCAGCCTTTGTGTGCAGACTGGAATGAAAAGAGCAAAAAGCTAGTGGTCCAGCAGTAGGTAAAAAAAAATAATTCTGCTCAAAAGGAAAAAAAAAGAGTGTGGATTAGTAGGTGTTTCTCTGTCTCTCTCTCTCTTGGTTTTTCTGTCTCTGTCTCTCTATTTCTATCTCTCTTGGTCTCTTTGTCTCAATGTCTCTGTCTCAATATCTCTCTCTGTCTCTGTCTCTATTAAATTGTCTGGCAATTGTTGAATGAGCCACATTTCCAGTTGCTTCTATTTACAAGGAGACCAACAAATCTTCCTGAGAAGAGGATGGATGCTTCCTTTTGGGTTCCAGGGAGATTGAGGGATATTCTCTTTAAAGCCATCTGTGAGACAGTTAGCCTCCCAGCTCAGATCACAATGGCTCTAGGCCAAGCTTCCTCACTGTAAATCAGGAAAGCTAAAAACTTTACCACCACCAAATTTCAGATCTTCTTGATGTTTTCATTACCAAATTGCAACCAGTCACTCAGGTCTAATAGAGATCACACAGTACAGAGGGGAACGTCAGAGCCAAGACCTTAAACAGCTAGGCAGAGGCACTGTCCTTAGTGTTGGGGGTAAATATACCAGAACCCCCTAGGGTGACGTTCCACTGTGTGGTGTTTTTGATATGTGCTGGAACAGATGATCTCAGGATGGAGTTATTATATCTTTTGTTTTCTTTTGTTGGTTTTCTCTAATTAAAGCCACTCACAATAGTCCTTAATGTAATTTCTTGGTACTTAAATGTTTAATGGAATCACAACCAGGAAAAAAGTATTCCTGTTCCCAGAAGTCCACAGAACTGGACCAAAATATTTTTGGATTTGAATAAGAGCAAAAGTAGCTTTTGAATGCTTTTTAATCAGTTGCCCATCTTTAGCAAAACTTTAACTAGGGAGGGGTGATTGGGGATTTGCTCCAGGGTACCACATTTAGGGAGTACTGTTGGAACTTGCAGTCAGTACTTCAACAGCACAAAAAACAACGGAGCTGAGTACCTAGTCAGCAAGGATAATTAGTTAACAGAGGAAACTACCTGATGATAAAGTGAAATAAATTCTTTCCTCTCACCAGCCACACCTTAGGGCATACTTTGTGCCATTTTCACTGTATACAGTTTGTAGTACACCTCCCAGGTTCATAGCTCCATCGTTGCAACTCTGATCTTTAGGTCTTAATCCAAAATCTACCTCATTATCTGAAAAACCTTCAGAGGACAAGGCATGCTATACAATAATAAGCTGTCTCTTTTGTGTTTCCAATATAATTTAAAAAAATTTTTATTTGTTTTTTCAATTTATGGGATAAAACAAGCATTTCCATAATATAGCATAATTTTTAAAAATGGTTGCACATGAAACTGCAAATCTATTACGTGCAACTTGTTATTTCATTTAAATATATAATAAAGTTATCGTGTAAATTTCTTTATTTTCTTCTTTTCTTTCCCACCTCCCCACCAGAGATGGCTACTAATATCTTTTAAAGGGGATTTTGCTTTAATTTCAGTATTTTGCAGGAAATCATAATTAACCCAGTGAAACGGCAAAGGGAAAGGTGCAGAAGTTACAGGCCAGAGTTCATTTCCCCATTCATTGTAAGGCAACTTCCTGGATTCAAGGTTACCCCATAACATGGGCAGTGTTAGTCCATAAGAATAGCAGAAGACCTAAGGCCTCACAAAGGACAGAATCTTCACCTCCATCCAACATGAGGTTTAGTTATTTTGATGATTAAAAGGAGTACCTGTTGTTTTCTTCCAAAATAAAAAGAATACTCTGTTGCTAGAGTAAGGAGAGATTTAAAGTAGTCATTTCACTTCTATTATCCTCTTTAAAATAGATTCAGAGAATCAAAATGGAAGGACTTCATCATATTGCAGTGTGGACAGAGTACTTGCAATGGAGTAAGGAAAACCTGTGTTCAAATCTTGCTTCTGAAAGTAATTCTGTGAACCTGCACAAATCATTTAAACTCTCTGAATCTCAGTTTTCCCACCCATAAAATGAAGGGTTTGGATAAGATACAGTCCATTCTAACTCTACATCCATGGTCCTTCCCATAACATGTTAAAGGTGTTTCATGTTAAAGGAGAGAAAAGGGGTCTCAATGGTTTAAAAACATCATCTCTGGATCTGGTCTGGATTCCAACATCAGGAGATATCATTTTCCTCCCTCTAAAACCCATCCTTCTTCCCAACTTTCCTATTTCTATAGTTGACCTCACTTTCCTCTTAGCCACCCAGGATCAAATCCTTTAAGCTATCTCTGACTTTGTTCTCTTCCTCACATCTCATTAATTATTCTAACTGTTCTGCCTCTCTGGAATCTCTCACCTACATCTCTATCTCTCTCTTCACTTCTTTTTAGTTAAGGACAATATCATTTCTCACCTAGCTCATTTTAAATAGGTCTAATAATAGGTCTTCCTGCCTCATTGTCCATATAGGTGCCAATATAATCTTCCTATGGCACACATCTTCCTGTGGCATTTCCTTGCTCAAAAACTGACAGCGGTTCCCCATTGCCTAAAGAATAAAATAAAAACTCCCTAACGGGGCAGTTTTTGAGGCCCTGCACAATCTTCACAACCTGGATCCAATCTAGGGAGGCAGAGTCACATAATGGTCAATAATTATTTTTTAAGCTCCTACTATGTGCCAGGTACTGTGCTAGACCCTGGGAATAAAAAGAAAGGCAAAAGAGAGTCTCTGCTCTGGGAGATCTATAATGTAGCAGAAAGAATGCTGAATGACTTGGCATCAGAAAACCTAATCTTATTGGACTTCTTCTACTGGTCTAGGGGCAACTGTTTCATAGCATCTCAAGCTATGTGATTCTCATCCATGTCTTTCCAAAATCCTTCTTTGAAGACACCCATTGCTCTGGAGGCCTTCCTCTTGTTTTTTTAGTATCTTATGGATTTACTTGTTGGGTGACCTTGGTCAAATCATTCAGTTTCTCTGGGTCTCAATTTCCTCATTTGAAAATAAGAGATAATGTGGCCTAATGAATACAGAGCCAGCCCATCTCTGACAAATCTTGTCTATGTGACAATGGACAAGTCATTTAAAATCTCACTGTCCCAGAAAACTCTCTGAGACTCTAAGTCTCAGAAATTGTTCTAAATGCTGGTAGTATATGAGTCTACTGTTGTGCCCTTATTTCATACAATTCACCTTCATGTTCTGGCCAAGCTGATCTACTAGCTCTTCCCTAATCTTACCATGCTTCCGTGCATTGATGTACGCATAGAATATATTCCCTTTATATCTTGGCTTGTTTATGTACTTTCCTTTTTTTCAAGACCTGTGTAAGGTGCCACTTTTCCCACTAAGCCTTTCTCAATCATACTCAGTCAAAAAGTGATTCTTCCCCTTCTCGAATTTTCTGAGAGTTCTCTGTCCAGACCTTTCCCTTGCCCCACCATAGTCTACCATGTATTGATCTCACTGATGCAACTGGGTATTTAGACTAATTTTCTTGTGGAGAGGGAAAGATTCTGGTATGTAGCTGCATGGGCTCCTGGGAATTGTAGTTCAGATGGACAGTGCGAATCACTCCTCCCCCTCCTCTCTTCAGTTCCTGTCAGCAAAAAGGATAGTGAGACTCTAGGAGGACAGCTTTAAGCTGAAGAGCCTGACTGTGAAGCATCTTCCTCCCAATGTCTCATGATCATTCCCCATTCCAGGGCCGGAGGAGACTCACAATATCCATTATAGTGGAATCTATGCCACCATATAACAACTATATACCAGCAGGCAATCGGTCTGCTCATTACCACAGAAGCCCTTCTGTTTATTACCCATATTTTTCCAGTTCATTGCTATAAAGTTGAAAATCATAAAGCAAAATTATAAGTAACCTCTATGACAGTGTAAAGGTACCTTACAGGCTTAAGTAGGATAGATCATGTTATCAATGATGACTTGTTTGTGAAAAGTGGTGCAAAAGATATTGCCAAAGACATGAATGACATACCAGAATATGGGGTATTCATATAGTGAGAATTATTCCTTTTAAAAGAAGCCTTATGGGATGGCTCTCTAAGAGGGAGAGAAGGAAGGGCACTCGGGAAATGCCAGGCAATGTAAAAACAAAAAATATCAATGAAGTTTTATTAAAAAAACAAAAACAAAACCAAAAACTAGCAGACATACCAATTAAGGGATATTGCTACAAAATATTAAACATGAGAGCTAGACCTGTAGAGAGACAGGTAGATGCCTCATGAATATTTATGGATTTTAGATGATAGAGCTAGGGCTAGAAAGGACCTTCGATATCATTAAGTTAAACTACCTCATTTTATAGCTTGGGAAAGTGAGGCCCAGAGTGGCTAGGTGACTTCCAGGATAACACAGCTAGTAAGTACCGGAGGCAAAATTTGAACGCAAGCCTTCCTGTTTTTAAGTCTAGTGTTTTATCCACAAGAATCATTGAGAAGAACTGGAGGGGCTACAACCTATAGGGAGCTCCTAAACTCATGAAATCATGTCATGGGATCATCAGTGCATGGATCCCCTTTTTCAGACTGTAAGGTCCTTGAGGAAAGGGAATACTAGTATCTTTTTTCCATCTTTGCATCTTCCCCAATCTGTAAAAGGCCTTGCAAATAATACGTTTTCAATAAATGTTCATTGAATTGAATTTTCCTAAAAAGCTAACAGGGTCTGGCCAAGATGGCCTGTTTGATCATTGGAAAAGTTGTGTGTTTTGTTTTCTGACCACTGTGAAGCTAATTGATAAGGATTGCTAACACGGTGGCAGAATTCCATTCTCCCTTGGGAATCTCCTCTGTGCCAATCTGATGGAGACTATAGCTGCTGCTGCATAATGGATGAGTCACTTAACATATCTCAATCTCAGTTTCCTCATCTGTATAATGGGGATAATCAAAATCACCCACCTACCTTAAAGGACTGTTGTAAGGATAAAATAAGATGATTCATGTAAAGCATTTTGCAAAGCATTACATAAATGATAGTTCTTATCGTTACTATTACCTTGTAATGAGGCAGCTAGTGCAGTTCTCTCGAGTTGGACCCCGGCATGTGGAACAAGAGACATCACAGCGTAGGCAGCGGCCCAGGTCATCAATGTATTCCCCTGGGGAACAAAAGCCAGTTGTTTACTTCAGCCCCGCATAGCCATGCATGATGACCGCCTTGTCATTCTGAGGGCAGCCAGACTTCATAGTGATTGCTTGCATAAGAAAGAAAAAATGGAGACACTCTAGAGAGACCCTGAACTCCTCCAGCTGCCAATTCTAAATCCTGACCTTACAACAACAACTTCTCCTCTCCCAGGGGCCCTCAGAGTTGGACCCTTAGAAAGTTATGAGGCAATGACATATTTTTGGATCTGGTCCGTATGTGTTACAGATTTTAAAAGTCAGGGAAGGCTAAAGGGACTTCCCAAAAGGACTCCTTCCTTGACTTCCTACTGATTTGCCTGTTAAAAGTGAAGGTCTGTTGTCCCAAAGGGGCTTCAACTGTCATCTGGGATGAGGCAAAGTGCCAAGCAGGACCCACCCCAGAGCATGCCCACCATGAACAAAAGGCTCTGTGGATTGTCTAGGATAAGGAGTCAAGTCTAGGCTGCCACTTGGCAGATGTGTGCTACCTCTCACCCTGAAAGAGGAACAACCCTGAGAGGGCCAGAGAAGCCCTGATTTAATTTAAAAAGTTTATCTTTTGCTAAGACAACAACAGCAGTAACACATGAGGCCTTCTGACGGAAGCAGCCAGAGTTGTGCCAATTTCTGGTGGCCTTCCCCACTTACTGCAGAGGGAAGGTGGGGGTAAAGGAGTGAAACGACAGCAACAGCAAACTCATTGAAGGTTATGGCACACAAGGATCCCATACTTATTCTCACTTCCTTAAAATCTATGCTCTTCTCCAAGTGGAATGAATAGTGTGGCCTGAACCAAGTGGTCCTTTTCTTATTTCAAAGGGCAGTTTATAAAGAAATAACAAATTTTCAGAAACCACGCTCTCAGTCTTCAGTTCCATCACTCTCTCTTTCTGTCTCCCTCTCCCCCTCTCTCTTTCTCTCCTTTTCACTCTTTCTCTCCCTTTCCCCTCCCTTCTTCTCTCTCTTCCTCTGTCTCTGTCTCTCTCTTTTTCTCTCTGTCTGCCTCCCCTCCCCCTCTCTCCTTTTCACTCCTTCTCTCTTCCTTCCTCTCTCTCTTCCTGCTAACTCTCTCTCTCTCTCTCTCTCTCTCTCTCTCTCTCTCTCTCTCTCTCTCTGTCTCCTTGTCCCCCCTTTCTTTCCTTTTCACTCTTTCTCTCCCTTCCCCCCTCTCCCTCCCTTCTTCTTTCTCTCCCTCTCTCTTTGTCTTTCTCTCTCTTTTCTCCTCCTCTTCCTCCCTCTCTCTCTCTCCCTTTCTCTCTCTCTCTTTTTTTTCTCTCTTTCTCATAACACATACAAATACCCTAAAAACATTTTTAGGTACCTCAATGCCGTTTAGGGAAAATGAGATTAATAGACACTTCTCTGGGAGTTTGCAGACTAGGATTTAAACTTAAAACTGGTCTTTAGAAAGTGACCCGTTTGGGTAAGACACCATAGGTCCCTTTCTGCTGCCAGAACCCCAGATCAACAATGAGTTAATGGTGATTTACATTTATGCTTAAAAGAGAGAGAGAGAGAGAGAGAGAGAGAGAGAGAGAGAGAGAGAGAGAGAGAGAGAGAGAGAGAGAGAGAGAGAAAAGTATTCATATCCTTAGCCCTAGAGTTCCCACTGGTGGGTATATAGTCCAAGGAGGTCAAAGATAGAAAGCAAAGCTCTATATTCACCTAGTTATTTATAGAAAGCCTTTTTGTAGTAACAAAAAAATTGCAAGCAAAGTAGATGGCCACTGTGAAATAGCTAAGCAAATTGTGGTACATGAATGTGGTATAGGAACATTCCTGTGTTGTAAGAAACAATGAACATAGTGAATACAGAAAGTAACAGGAAGATTTGCACGAACTGATTCAGAATGATGGAATCAGAACCAGGAAAGCAATATACATAACAGCTACAACAACTGAAACAGAAAGAACAATAAAAAATGAAACTGAATGTTCTGTAATCATGATGATCAAGAGTTAAGAAAAAGTACCTCTGTATACTACACTAGATATCAGCCATATTAATAAATATTGTTTTAGACTATTTAAAATAACTAGACAGTATAAGGTTAGAATATGGCTGTGGTATAGGAAATGATGAGTTGGTGGACTTAGTAAAATATGGAAGGACTAGGACTTATGAAGAGGTTATCTACCATCAGAGAAACAAAGGACTCATAAGTATAGTATGGTCTTACATAGATGAATATTAATATATATGTCTACATATGAATATGATTATAAAAATCTAAGTATATGTATGTATGTGTAAGTGCATGCATGTGTATATACATGTATATATCTCTGTGTATAAATGTATATATATGCATGCATATGTATGTATATATATATGTATATGCATATGTGTGTGTGTATATATAATATATATATATACACATATATATGTTTGTGCATGTATGTAACTGCACTTAATTGTAGCCTTTGGTGGGGGAGGAAAGAAGGGGGGGGAAAGAACAAAGTCAAAAGTACATGGCAGAGAACAAAAGAAAACTTAAAAGAAAGCAAAGTAGGATTTATTATATAGGTTTTCTTGAAATGGAAATTTATTGCTGCATATTTTGAATCCTCCTATGTTTGGCTGTACATATGGCAATGCATTTTTTCTTTTCTTATTTTGTATTTAAGTTCTAATATATAAATACATAATGTTTTTTCTTTTCTTAAAAAAAAAGAAAATGTAGCTCTCTCCCTTCCTGTCTTGAAGCGATATGGGACTATGGGTGTGAAATAGTGATATGCTTTCAAAAATCTTTGTTCTAATGGATGGTTTGCTGAACATGGTGGGAGAGAGGAACATATTCGGAAATGGAAATATAAAAGCTAAAGGTATCAATAAAAGGGGCAGTTAGGTGGTCCAGTGGATAGAATGCCAGGCCTAGAGTCACAGAGACTCAACTTCTTGAATTCAAATCTGGTCTCAGACATTTACTAGTGATGACACCCTGGGCAAGTCACTTCATTCTGTTTGCCTCAGTTTCCTCATCTGAAAAATGAGCTAGAGAAGGAAATGGCAAACCACTCCAGTGTCTTTATCAAGAAAACTCCCAAAATGGGGTCACAAAGTTGGACAGGACTGAAAAGTGACTGAACAATATAGCAGCAAAATCAATAACAGTAAGATGATTTTAAAAACAAAAACAAAAAAAGCTGGTGAGAGCATAAAATCTGCAAGACGTGTTACCTTATTTTCTGGAGTATGCAAAGAGTAGGCACTGGGAAAATGAACTTGACAGGTGTTAAGAATTGAGTGAGAACGAGAATTGAATTTCTTTAAACACTCAGATAGATAAAGCATCTATGAGCATTCACTATGTGCCAGGCACTATGCTAAGCATTGGGGATACAAGTATAAGACAGTCCCAGCCTTGAGGAGTTTTCTTTCTAATGGAGGAAAGATAACATATAAAACGGACCTAGAAAGGGGTGGGGAGCAGGGACCTGGATAGAAGGCTGCTACTGAGGAGGGAGAAAATCCAGATAGGAGAGGAGTCTGTAGCTATGTGTGACCTTGGGAGTTTCTCAAACTCTCTCAACCTCATCTATAAAATGGGGAGTGAAGTGAACACAGCCTCAGTATCTCATTGAAGCCCTACATTTACCCCACTGCATGGAGTACCCTGGAAATAAAATCTTCCACTTATCTGTCCTCATAAGTAGGTGATAAATTTCTTTCTTCATAATCCTTTAAAATTTTTTTCCTATTTATTTTATTTTTAATATATGGAATAAAATAAGCATTTCCATAATTAGTATAAAAATAACAATAATAATAATAATAAAATGTATTATGTCTCATTGCATTTGATAGATGAGGAAACTGAGACTCAGTGATTTTCCCAGAGTGACACAGGGGTAAGCATTGGAGATGACTCTAAGACCAGGGTAGTTTTCCTGATGCTAGTATCCTTCACACAGAAAAAAAAAATAGAGTGGCAGCTGGTTTTGGATTTTATTTGGGTTAAAAACAAATGTGTTTTTAAATCTACAGACTTACATCTGGTTAATTTTGTTAACAAAGAAAGTAAAAATGTTCAAACTGCAGAGATTTATAAATGTAGTCCTCTACAGTGACCCAAGAAGACAATTGTTCAGTCATTTTTCAGTCCCATCTAAATTTTTGTGACCCCATTTGGGGTTTTCTTGGCAAAGATACTGATGTGGTTTGTCATTTCCTTCTCCAGATCATTTTACAGATGAGGAAACTGAGGCAAACAGGGTTAAGTCCAGGGTCACACAGCGTGTAAGTGTCTGAGGCTGGATTTGAACTCAGGAAGATGAGTCTTCCTGACTTCAGTCCCAGCACTCTATCCACTGAGCCATCAACTGCCCTGCACCAATGCTGATTTCAAAACTCAATTTTCTCTTACTGTCTCCAGACATCAAAGAGTTGTATGGCCTAAGCATCCCTGAAGTCTGTAACAACTAGATTTGAGAGTCCCCTGGGGCTCTAAGAATTACCAGTTATCGGGCCAGAGGAGAAGATCAATGTGAACTGTGGGTTCAGAATGAAGCTTCTCAGCAGTGCTTGGTAGAGACTCTGGGTGGTTCCCCTGCTCGTGTGAATAAGTGAGTGGGTATTCTAAGATTCAATCATATAGCTTGTGAAAAATGATTTCTCTTAGTAATCTGTGTCTTGGAGACTCAGAGCTCCCAGCCCTCCCCCCAGCTTCAGAACGACATTTTACTGATAACAAGGTTGCATTGAATCTTATCTTGTTCAAGCTCCAACCCAGGTCTGAATTGGTTTTATTCTACTCAGGTCTGGGTGGAGACCAATTCCCAAGTCTGGGGGTGGTATTTCCTCTGTTCCGATGGTGGGTGATATCAGCCCCTGTTGACCTAGATTAAGTGACCTAAATCATGTATTCAAGACATCATTTTAATATAACCCACCTCCCAGTGTTTTGACCAATCAGAGTTGATTGGCATACCTTGGGAACACCTACTCTTCAAAGGGCATATACTCTGT